CAGCAGGCCTACCTTGGAAAGTCGGATGGCGATTGGAAGGGATCGGCAGAGTTGCCGCCTATGCCGGAAGTGGGTCCGGATGCTGCTGTGGAGTTTTCGGATTGGATCTACGAAGCTGAGCAGGTGATCGGGAGCATCGCTGATAAGGCGACGCTATGGTTTTCGGCCTGCATGGAAGTGGCGAGGACCACCTATGATCAGTATGTCATTTCCTCACCGCTTCAGAGGTTGACTTTGACCCCGGTGATTCCGGATGAGCTTCGTGACCCTCGTTGGTCACGCTTGGAGCGAAAGGTCACCATGATGTTGCTTGCCTCCATGCGCAAGCCTGCCAAGGACGAGGTGATCACGCACCGGATTTCCACAGTGCCCGCGTTGTTGTACAGGATGTTCATCTTATATCAACCAGGTGGCTCAGCTGAGCGAGGAACTATATTACGCCATCTGGAAGGGCAGTCAGCCGGGAATGATGTGTATCAGTGCATCACGGCGCTTCGCAAATGGCGCAGGTATCTTCAGCGGGCGGAGGACATCGGCATCTCCGTTCCGGACGGCTCGGTCCTTCTGAAAGGGGTTGAGGCCATCACGGCTCAGACCTTAGAGGCGCTTCCCGATGTCAAGTTTCGTGTTGCCCTGGCCAAAAATGAGCTGCAGCTTCACAGTCGTTTGGAGGCAGATTCGGTCATCCGTTTCTCGAATGCAATCATGGCCGAGCTTCAGACGGCAGCACCGGCACGACAAGCAGCAGGTACCTCAGAGCCAGCAAAGCTCAAGAACATCAATGTGGCCGAGAACACTGGAACATCTTCGCCTTCGGCGAAGGCAAAGGCCAAGGCGAATGTCCCATGCAAGTTCTTCCTCACTGAGGCTGGATGTTCAAGGGGAGCAAATTGTGGCTACTCCCACCAGTTCACGAAGAAGGAGAAGGCTGGAAGATGCTGGACTTGTGGAAGTACCCAACACTTGAGTTCTACATGTACGACAAGGAAGGGTGGAAATAGCCCTTCAAAAGATCCCAAGGCTGGACCTAAGGGTCAACCACCAAAGGGCCCGGCAGTGTCACAGCTAGCTGCTGCTACCACGACGACTATGGGAGCGCCAGCCGTGACGGACACGTCTTCTATGGCTTCGTCGTCGCTTCCCTCTACTTCAAGCTCGTCTGTTCCCGGACCGTCGATCTCGGAGGTTGTGGCGGCCAATGTTGCTGACACGGAAGCCCAGATGAAGCAGCTCCTCGAGGAAGCTAATGCCATGATGAAGGAGATGAGAAAGCTGAAGATGTTGGCGTTGTCTTCCACGGAGGTTAAGAACAATGCGGCAGCAAGGAGGTGTGGGCCTATGACAGGACGAACCGGGTTGTTGGATTCAGGAGCGTCACACCCGTTTCGGTCGGCGTCTACAGACGAGCTGCAGGAGGCGACCCGTGTCCGAGTTCAACTTGCAAACGGATCGGAAGTGACGCTAGCCCAAAACAGGGCCGGAACACTCTTGGCTTCCACACCGAAGGACGGAGATGAACTTTCGCCGATTGTTCCGCTAGGAAGCCTCGTCAGCGAGTTAGGGTGTGACTTGGTGTGGACTCGCAGCCGCGGACTGGAAATTCGCCATCCACAGCACGGACTCATCAAGCCACGCATTGTGGGCCAGTGTCCGGTGATCGGCGAGTCGCGTGCGCT